CCTTGCCTATCTATACTGCACTCTTGGAAGTTGCGATTTGAAGCATTGCTACATACCCCCATGGTCAGTACTACTGTCCTTTCTATCGATACACATAGCACCTCTTGTGATTTGCAATCTGAAGAATACTACATACATACAATACAATAGCCAGGTAGCTCCATCCTATTTATCTTACACTACTGCCCTCGTTGTGGTTGATCTCGAGCACTCGTCATCCCTACGGATACTACATACCAGTTCATCTATTTCCTAATTCTATCTGATAGACACTGCCCTCTTTGTCTTGCCCCCATATTGAGCTTTGCACTACATTACACACCAGATAGGCCATGTCTGGTTAATCCTGTTACTATCTATATACTGCCCTAGTTATGTTATTTCGTCTTATGCACTGCATACTACATAGCTAATCAACAATTACCTTAATCCTATTCTTCACATACACTTGTGGCCCTCTTGTTGTGAGTCTGCCCTCTGACACTAGCTACTCAACGACTACACATAGCGTAATCTTCTATCTTAACACTGGCCCTCTTTGTGGTTGCATTATGAGAATTGCATATCATAACCACCACCAATAGGCCAGACTTGTTAATTCCTTTCTGATCTATAGGACTTGCCATCTTATGGTTACATCTGAGTGCACTGCATACATACATACTAATAAACAAATACCTAATCCTATCTATACACTGCCCTCTTGTGGTTGCATCTGAGCACTGCATACATACATACGAACAGACCAGTAGCTAATCCTTTCTATCTATACACTGCCCTCTTGTAGTTGCATCTGAGAAAACTACATACATACATACATACCAATAAGCCAGTAGCTAATCCTATTTATCTATACACTGCCCTCTTGTGGTTGCATCTGAGCACTGCATACATACATACGAACAGACCAGTAGCTAATCCTTTCTATCTATACACTGCCCTTTTGTGGTTGCAGTTGAGCATTGCATACATACACACCAATAGGCCAGTTGTTAATCCTTTCTATCTATATACTGCCCTCTTGTGGTTGTATCTGAACACTGCATACATGCTAGTAAGCCAGTAGCTAATCCTTTCTGTCTATACACTGTCCTCTTAAGGTTGCATCTGAGAGCACTGCATACATACATATCAATAAGCCAGTAGTTAATCCTTTCTATCTATATACTGCCCTCTTGTGGCTGCATCTGAGCATTGCATACATACACACCAATAGGCCAGTAGCTAATCCTTTCTATCTATACACTGCCCTCTTGTGGTTGCATCTGAGCATTGCATACATACACACCAATAGGCCAGTAGCTAATCCTTTCTATCTATATACTGCCCTCTTGTGGCTGCATCTGAGCATTGCATACATACACACCAATAGGCCAGTAGCTAATCCTTTCTATCTATACACTGCCCTCTTGTGGTTGCATCTGAGCATTGCATACATACACACCAATAGACCAGTAGTTAGTCCTTCCTATCTATAAATGGTCCTCTTGTAGTTGCATTTGAGCATTGCATACATACATACCAATAATAAGCCAGTAGCTAATCCTTTCTATCTATACACTGTCCTCTTGTGGTTGCATCTGAGCACTGCATACATACACACCAATAGGCCAGTAGCTAATCCTTTCTATCTATTGTACTATACCATTATATTGTAATATTATTAGTAATATTACATGTAATATAAAATATTTAATTATAACATCATCATCATTAGTAGTATTATATTGTATTACATTATAATATTATAAATATATGTGTATACAATACATTATATTATATTGGGCCCCCGGTGGCGCAGTGGGTTAAACCGCCCCAGGGAGAGGCGGATGAGCTCCCTCTATCAGCTCCAGTTCCTCATGTGGGGACATGAGAGAAACCTCCCACAAGGGTGATAAAAACATCAAATAATCTGGGTGTCCCCTGGGCAACGTCCTTGCAGATGGCCAATTCTCACACCAGAAGCGACTTGCAGTTTCTCAAGTCGCTCCTGACACGACAAAAAAAATAAATTATATTATATTATATTATATTATTAGCATAGCACAGGAGACAAGATGGAACTGTCCCCTGGCCCCCTCTTTGCTTTGGCTTTGATAGAAGAAGAACAAGCCCTATGAGGAGGCTTAAGGAGCTGGGCATGTTTAGCCTGAAGAAGAGAAGGCTGAGAGGAGATACGATAGCCATTTATAAATATGTGAGAGGAAGCCACAGGGAGGAGGGAGCAAGCTTGTTTTCTGCTTCCCTGGAGACTAGGACGCGGAACAATGGCTTCAAACTACAAGAGAGGAGATTCCATCTGAACATGAGGAAGAACTTCCTGACTGTGAGATCCGTTCAGCAGTGGAACTCTCTGCCCCGGAGTGTGGTGGAGGCTCCTTCTTTGGAAGCTTTTAAACAGAGGCTGGATGGTCATCTGTCAGGGGTGATTTGAATGCAATATTCCTGCTTCTTGGCAGAATGGGGTTGGACTGGATGGCCCATGAGGTCTCTTCCAACTCTTTGATTCTATGATTCTATGATAGAAAGCCTGAGACAGAGCCAGCCTGCGGCCTTGGCACTCACCCGTTTGAGCATGATAATGCCCAGTCCAGCCACAGCCGTGAATTGGGTCGCAACCAGCATCATGAGGACGGCCACACCAGTGTTCAGCTTCAGGGCTGAGAGGCTCACGATCCAACCACTGCAAGCAAAGACGAGAAAAGAAGAAAATAGTACACTCTTGATATGTGTGCATTTCACAGAGACCACGACGGAGAAACAAATAAATATGCCAGGACAGAGCCCTTCTCTAATCCAACCCATAACATAAGACAAACAATGTAGGGATGCAAGGATTTCGCCCCACCTGAAGCCCCAGCCGGGAATGCCGATGGCCTGCAGAACAAAAACCACGTCCTGTGCAAAGAAGATGAAGAAGAAGACGAAGAAGTTGAAAGAGCTGTCGCTCCTGGAAGAAAAGAAGGGAGCAAGGAGCCAGTTAGCACATCTTGTTCTATGAGCCCTACCCACCATATTGGTCCAGAAAATTTGGGGAGTAATATATTGACAAAAATATTGACAAAAATATTCATAAAAATACTCAAGAAAATATTTCCTTCCCTGAGTTAGAAAAAAGACTTTTGGGTCTAAATATAGCTTCATTGAAATGGATGGCCATCTGCTGTGAGGACTTTGATGGTGTTTTCCTGCCTGGTAGCATTGGATTGGCCTGGATCGCTCTTGAGATCTTTTCCAACTCTAGAAGTCTATGGGGCTCCTTTTACACTGCTATATATAATCCAGATTATCCACTTTGAACTTGATTATATGACAATGTAGACTCATATAATCCAGCTCAAAGCAGATAAAGCGGCTTATCTGCTTTGATAATCTGGAACATATTCCAGCGTAGGAGGAGAACACATCTGCAGTTAGTAGTAGGAGTTTGAAGCTCAATTTTAGGGAGAATGGAGCAAACCTCCAGAGGTCAAATTGAAAGATGCTACTCTCTACAAAAAGAGAGAAGGATCAAAACTCTCTCTCTATATATATATATATATACACTAGCCATCCCCTGCCATGTGCTGCTGTGCACATGGGGGATCTGTGTGGGAGGTTTGGCTCAATTCTATCGTTGGTGGGGTTCGGAATGCTCTTTGATTGTAGGTGAACTATAAATCCCAGCAACTACAACTCCCAAATGTCAAGATTCTATTTTCCCCAAACTCCACCAGTGTTCACATTTGGGCATATTGAGTATTCGTGTAGAGTTTGGTCCAGATCCATCATTGTTTGAGTCCACAGTGATCTCTGGATGTAAGTGAACTACAACTCCAAAACCAAAGGACACTGCCCACCAAACCCTTCTAGTGTTCATGGGAGTTCTGTGTGCCAAGTTTGGTTCAATTCCACCATTGGTGGAGTTCAGAATGCTCTTTGATTGTAGGTGAACTATAAATCCCAGCAACTACAACTCCCAAATGAAAAAAATCATTTTTTTTTAGTGGAGGACATACATTGGGTTGTTAGGTGTCTTGTGTCCAAATTTGGTGTCAATTCGTCCAGTGGTTTCTGAGTTCTGCTAATCCCACAAACGAACATTACATTTTAATTTATATATAGATAGAATCATAGAATCATAGAATCAAAGAGTTGGAAGAGACCTCATGGGCCATCCAGTCCAACCCCATTCTGCCAAGAAGCAGGAATATTGCATTCAAATCACCCCTGACAGATGGCCATCCAGCCTCTGTTTAAAAGCTTCCAAAGAAGGAACCTCCACCACACTCCGGGGCAGAGAGTTCCACTGCTGAACGGCTCTCACAGTCAGGAAGTTCTTCCTCATGTTCAGATGGAATCTCCTCTCTTGTAGTTTGAAGCCATTGTTCCGCGTCCTAGTCTCCAAGGAAGCAGAAAACAAGCTTGTTCCCTCCTCCCTGTGGCTTCCTCTCACATATTTATACATGGCTATCATATCTCCTCTCAGCCTTCTCTTCTTCAGGCTAAACATGCCCAGCTCCTTAAGCCGCTCCTCATAGGGCTTGTTCTCCAGACCCTTGATCATTTTAGTCGCCCTCCTCTGGACACATTCCAGCTTGTCAATATCTCTCTTGAATTGTGGTGCGCAGAATTGGACACAATATTCCAGGTGTGGTCTCACCAAAGCAGAATAGAGGGGTAGCATTACTTCCCTAGATCTAGACACTATGCTCCTATTGATGCAGGCCAAAATCCCATTGGCTTTTTTTGCCGCCACATCACATTGTTGGCTCATGTTTAACTTTTGTCCATGAGGACTCCAAGATCTTTTTCACATGTACTACTGTTGAGCCAGGCATCCCCCATTCTGCATCTTTGCATTTCATTTAAGTGGAGTATCTTGCATTTGTCACTGTTGAACTTAATTTTGTTAGTTTTGGCCCATCTCTCTAATCTGTCAAGATCGTTTTGAATCCTGCTCCTGTCCTCTGGAGTATTGGCTCTCCCTCCCAATTTGGTGTCATCTGCAAACTTGATGATCCTGCCTTCTAGCCCTTCATCTAAGTCATTAATAAAGATGTTGAACAGGACCGGGCCCAGGACGGAACCCTGCTTGTGGCACTCCACTTGTCACTTCTTTCCAAGATGAAGTGACAAGTGGAGTGCCGCAGGTATATAAAATGAACTGCTATGAACAAGAATGGAAGTCACATCTACACCTTTTTTATTTTATTTTATTCTCTCTTTTCTTCTTTCCTACGATCCTATCAGTGCACTGTTCTCCCACTTTCCATGTGAAAACATATATCATTCTATTTTTATTTTTTATTTTTCCTTAACTATATTTTTATTTGTATGAATAATTCTTCTTTCTTTTAATATTAGTTTTCAACAAGTGGAGTGCCGCAGGGTTCTGTCCTGGGCCCGGTCCTGTTCAACATCTTTATTAATGACTTAGATGAAGGGCTAGAAGGCATCATCAAGTTTGCAGATGACACCAAATTGGGAGGGATAGCCAATACTCCAGAGGACAGGAGCAGAATTCAAAACGATCTTGACAGATTAGAGAGATGATGGGCCAAAACTAACAAAATAAAGTTCAACAGTGACAAATGCAAGATACTCCACTTTGGCAGGAAAAACGAAATGCAAGATACAGAATGGGGGACAATGCCTGGCTCGAGAGCAGTACGTGTGAAAAAGATCTTGGAGTCCTCGTGGACAACAAGTTAACATGAGCCAACAATGTGATGTGGCAGCAAAAAAAGCCAATGGGATTTTGGCCTGCATCAATAGGAGCATAGTGTCTAGATCTAAGGAAGTAATGCTACCCCTCTATTCTGCTTTGGTTAGACCACACCTGGAATATTGTGTCCAATTCTGGGCACCACAATTCAAGAGAGATATTGACAAGCTGGAATGTGTCCAGAGGAGGGTGACTAAAATGATCAAGGGTCTGGAGACCAAGCCCTATGAGGAACGGCTTAAGGAGCTGGGCATGTTTAGCCTGAAGAAGAGAAGGCTGAGAGGAGATATGATAGCCATGTATAAATATGTGAGAGGAAGTCACAGGGAGGAGGGAGCAAGCTTGTTTTCTGCTGCTCTGGAGACTAGGACGCAGAACAATGGCTTCAAATTACAAGGAAGGAGATTCCATCTGAACACAAGGAAGAACTTCCTGACTGTGAGAGCCATTCAGCAGTGGAACTCTCTGCCCCGGAGTCTGGTGGGAGGCTCTTTCTTTGGAGGCTTTTAAACAGAGGCTGGATGGCCATCTGTCAGGGGTGCTTTGAATGCAATATTCCTGCTTCTTGGCAGGGGTTGGACTGGATGGCCCATGAGGTCTCTTCCAACTCTATGATTCTATGATTCTATGTGTTTTTAATCACATAGAATCTTTAATCAAGTCTTCTACCGTTTGCAAAATATGTGTTGCCCTGTTTTTCATCATTGGGAGGGAAAAAAAAAGGGGGGGGGTAGGGAAGGTGCGTTGTGGTGTGCGTTTGGTGTCACACACACCAACACCCTCAACTCTGCTCAGGAAGTATCTGGCATATATTTTGGCCACAATGTCAATTGCAAACTGATTGGATGATAAGACTTGCGATCTTTTTTGTTTCCGATAGAAATAGTTAGAGAGTTGATAGAGATGTGGTGGGTCTCTATAGATGGAGAGGTGGAGATTGAGGGTAGTCGCGTTGGTCAGGAGAGGTGTGGGTTTGCGCAGAGGCTAGCGGCTGTTCGCGGGACGGGAGAAAGAGAAGGAGATAGGGAGAAGGGGAGTCCGAAGCGGGAGACGCGCGGGTGCGGGGTGGAGGATGAGAGTGTATCGTGTTGGGAGGCGAGACCCGGGGTGCTGCTATAAGTGAGCCTATAGCCTGATGTTTGCGAGGTTGTGTGCTGGAGGGGGGATAGACTGGGACCACGAGTTGGTCACTCACGGGGGGTGGTGTGTCGGAACTCGCGAGAGGAGATGAAAAGAGACAATAAGAAAGAGAGAGGAACAACTGGGATCTGGCAGGTGTTCTTGATGTGTGTAAATAGGCCTGTTAATAGAGGGACCCACCAATCCAGGTGTTTTTTGAATAGCTCAGCAGGTAGATAGTCTTCCCCTGGGGCTTTATTGGTCTTTAGGTCGTTTATGATACATCTGATCTCATCTTCTGTTCCTGGGGGCCAATGAGGCAGGGCTTCTATTCGTAAGTTTTGAACTGGAGGCTGTGTCACTGTGGGTTCTGCCGGAGCAAACCAGTGGGTATAGTAAATTTCCCAGTCCTCTGCGGGGATAGGTATAGTAAATTTGAACCTTCATTTTTAATTTTTGTGGTGTGAAATTTTACCTTGGCATTTTAATGATGATATTTTTAATTATCTTTTAACTTAATCAAGTTTGAATGTATGTTAGTTTACTATTATGGGAGTCTTAGGATAGTGATTCATAGAATCATAGAATCCAAGAGTTGGAAGAGACCTCATGGGCCATCCAGTCCAACCCCATTCTGCCAAGAAGCAGGAATATTGCATTCAAATCACCCCTGACAGATGGCCATCCAGCCTCTGTTAAAAGCTTCCAAAGAAGGAGCCTCCACCACACTCCGGGGCAGAGAGTTCCACTGCTGAACGGCTCTCACAGTCAGGATTATTGTCTATTTGTGCACATTTCTATTTTTGTTTTTAATGTTGATACGGTCAATGGACTAATCAATAAACTTTGCTTGCTTTTAATATTTATTAATAGAAAATATATATTTAAAAAAAGAAGATAAACTGGATTTTATACAGCAGTGTAGAAGGGGGCCTGAGTCTACACTGCCATTTAAAATCCAGAATATCTGCTTTGAACAGGAGTTTCTAAAAGAGGCCAGAAACTCCACTCGATCTGTTGGACTACAACTCCCTTCGCCCACAGCCTGCTTTTAATCGACGTACTTGAAGGCCTTGTACATGGGCCGATACCAGCAGAGGAAGGAACACGGGGTGAAGATCAAGGTCCAGAGGATGGAAAGGCCGAACCCGGAGCCACCGGAGGTGTCCACGCAGAACAAGGCCAGGGAGGCCAGGAAGTTGAAGAAGAGGGTCACGATGCTGGCTGCAACACACACACAGACACAAAGAGGGTTATAATATACTAGCTTTACCCGCCACGCGTTGCTGTGGCCAACCTTCTCTCCCTCTTTCTCTCCTTCTTTCACTCCTTCATTCATTTCCTTTTCTTCTTTCCTTTCTTCCTTCTCTACCTGTTTACTTCCTTCCTTAGCTTTTTGCTCCCATCCTTCCTTCTCTTTATTTCTTTCCTTCCCTCCCTCTTTCTCTCCTTCTTTCTCTTCTTCCTTTGCTCCGTCTTTCCTCCCTTTTTTCTTTCCTTCTTCCTTCTCTTCCTCTTTCCTTCCTCCTCCCTTTTTATTTTCCTTCCTCTTTCTCTCCTTTCTTCCCTCTCTATCTCTTTCCTTCCTTCCTTCCTTCGCTCTTGACTTCCAGACTTCCTTTTCTTTCTTTCTTTTCTTTCCTCCCTTTCTCTTCTTCCTTTGCTTTTTCCCCTCTCTTCCCCTTCCCAAATTTCCCTTCCTTCCTCCCTTTTGACACCTTCCCTTCCCCTTCCCTTTCTTCTTCTTTTCTATCTTTCTTTCCTTTCCTCCTTCCTTCCTTTCTCCCTTCTTTCCCATCCTCCTTCTCTCTCTTTATTCTTTCTTTCCTACCTTTCTTCTTTCATATACCTTCTCAACTTCTCCTTCCTTCCTTCATACACCTTCCCTCCCTTCCCTCCTTCCTTCCTTTTCTTTCCTTCCTTCCTTCCTTTCTCCCTTCTTTCCCATCCTCCTTCTCTCTCTGTATTCTTTCTTTCCTACCTTTCTTCTTTCATATACCTTCTCAACTTCTCCTTCCTTCCTTCCTTCATACACCTTCCCTCCCTTCCCTCCTTCCTTCCTTTTCTTTCCTTCCTTCCTTCCTTTCTCCCTTCTTTCCCATCCTCCTTCTCTCTCTGTATTCTTTCTTTCCTACCTTTCTTCTTTCATATACCTTCTCAACTTCTCCTTCCTTCCTTCCTTCCTTCCTTCCTTCCTTTCTCCGTTCGCGCAGCATCCTGGCCCCCAGCGAGCAGGCCGCGTTCTAGAACTACAGTTCCCAGAGTGCATTGCGTGTGTACTTCCTCCCCTGGGCACTGCGCATGCTCAGTTGGTTTTTGTAATTGTGAGTTTGTTGAAATGTTGTTTGGAATTTTGATTCGTGTTGTGCATACCTTGTGGGTTGAGGTATGTGCACGGCAAATTTGGTGAGTTTTCATCGGGGGGTTTCCGCGTTTTGCCGTCCCGTTGAACACCCTTTCCATTTTTATATATATAGATGGAAGCGTTCATAATTCTCAGCCAAGAGCTCATAAAACCTAAATTTTCCGACTGTTTCTGTTATACCCATCAATCCCTGCTTTCGTCTTGTAATTTAATCTCATTTTACCAAGCTTATTAATCAAGTTTTACTGTGTTTAAATTTATTTTTAGTTATAAGTATTACAGGAGTTTTAGGATACAAAGAAGCAGAAAATACCATCAAAATAAATACATGAAATAACAAAATAAAATAAATATTACAAAATAACATGATAGAGAAATAGAACACAGTGGGCGGGCCAAATGCACCAGGATAAAATTCATATACACATATACACAAATACATACACACACAAAACATGTATATACAGACTGTGCCACAGCAACACAGTGGGCGGGCCAAATGCACCAGGATAAAATTCATATACACATATACACAAATATATACACACACAAAACACATATATACAGACTGTGCCACAGCAACACATGGCAGGGGATGGCTAGTAATATAATATAATATAATGTATCATCCAGTATCAGCCACTTATTGAGGTTCTGGGTTTCAGCCTGCCACTTTTGGACTCTCATTTGCTGAGGTGTTCCGGCAAGTATCTCTGTAGATCTTAGGAAGCTATTTTTTTTTTAAAAAAAAATGAATCAGCTGTTTTCCCTGTAGTAGGCAGTAAGAGCACCTAAAGTTTTGGAGAACTTCTGTCCAATCATTTCAAAGCTCCCTGCTTGGGCAGTGATGGCACGATCGTGAGCATAGATGAAGCTCTTTGTCCCTTCTGGCAGTGGCTGGTCATTTGTGTAAATGTTGAACATTGATGGTGCAAGCAAGCTCCCCTTATGGCTTTAAAATAGCTCTTCTACACTATTATATAATCTACACATTATATAATATGGATTATCAAAGCAAATAATCCACATTATCTGATGTGAACTGGAATATATGAGTCTAAGGTAAAAGGTAAACGTAGTTCCCTGACATTAAGTCCAGTCGTGTCCAACTCTGGGGGTTAGTGCTCATCTCCATTTCAAAGCCGAAGCGCCGGCTTTGTCCGTAGACACCTCCAAGGTCATGTGGCCGGTATGACTGCAAAGAGCGCCGTTACTTTCCCACCGGAGTGGTACCTATTGATCTACTCACATTTGCATGTTTTCGAACTGCTAGGTTGGCAGAAGCAATCATCATTTGCATGTTTTCGAACTGCTAGGTTGGCAGAAGCAATCATCATCATACATTTTATTTATTATGTAAACAATATACATTCTTTCATGAGCTCAGCTTGCTGTGGAATCAGACATGGGTCTATTTTTTCCATAATTCTATGCAAAATAAGTCTCTCCAGTACTTTGTAAAGATGGCACAACAGGGAGATTGATCTAAAATTGTTATTATTATTATTTCATTATTGTTATTGTTATTATTATTATTATCATCATCATCATCATCATCTATAGCCTTTTGGGTTATTATGGTCTTTGCCTGATTTCAAAATGGCTATTTTAAAGCCATAAGGGGAGCCTGCTTGCATCATCAATGTTCAACATTTACACAAATGACCAGCCACTGCCAGAAGGGACAAAGAGCTTCATCTATGCTGACGATCGTGTCATCACTGCCCAAGCAGGGAACGTTGAAATGATTGAACAGAAGTTCTCCAAAACTTTAGGTGCTCTTACTGCCTACCACAGGAAAAACCAGCTGATTCCTTTTTTAAAAAAAAGATCTACAGAGATACTCGCCGGAACACCTCAGCAAGTGAGAGTCCAAAAGTGGCAGGCTGAAACCTGGAACCTCAATCAGTGGCTGATACTGGATGAGAAACTCTCTCCTGGGCACACAGAAGAGTGGATGACCTGGAAGGTACTGAACAGGCTGTGCCACAAAGTGGAGTCCACGGCATGCGAGTGTGGAGAAGAGCAAACCATAGACCACTTACTACAATGCAAAGTCTAAAGTACAAAGGACGAATGGGAACCAAGTTAGCCTATTTAGGCCCTTCTACACTATTATATAATCTACACATTATATAATGTGGATTATCAAAGCAGATAATCCACACTATCTGATTTGAACTGGATTATATGAGTCTACATTGCCATATAACCCAGTTCAAAGAAGATAATTTGGATTTTATTTGGCCTAGGATGAACCCAGAACCTTCTTGAGACAAAAATTGGCATTCATTCAGTGGCAGTCCTTTTCTCCAAGGGCTTACTTACCCATCCAGAGGTAGTACATCGTAGTGACTGTTTTCTGGGATTCCACCGGAATCTCCACCGGGATGTCCTGATAGAAACACGGTTTCACCGGACAGAAGGATGGCAGAGGTGGCCAATTGTTCGGTCTGGCTGTAAGATGAAAACAGAGACAGAAAGTCAAGTAAACAGGTGACTCCAGGGAGAGCATTTTATGTTGAACCAAAATAATAATAATAATAATAATAATAATAATAATAATAATAAAAAACACCACTTGGGAAGATTCCAACGTATGATCCAACACAACAGCCAGCAGAGTGATCTTGTCTGCTGTGGACTCATCTTGTTGTGTTTCTAATAATAATAATAATAATAATAATAATAATAATAATAATAACAACAACAACAATAATCATAGGCGCTTTTAACCCTTTTAGATGTGTTTTGAAGGACTAGAAAGCCACGAAATAAACCCTGGGAAATATAAACAGGACCGTGGTGTCGCAACGGCTTAAGCTGTTGAGCCGCTGAACTTGTTGACCTCAAGGTTGGCAGTTCAAATCCGTGAATTGGGGTGAGCTCCTGACGTTAGCCCCAGCTCCTACCAACCTAGCAATTAGAAAGCATGCAAATGTGAGCAGATCAATAAAGTACAGCCTCGGCAGGAAGGCAAACGGCACTCCATGCAGTCATGCCTGCCACACAACCCAGGAGGTGTCTATGGGCAATGCCGGCTCCTCGGCTTGGAAATGGAGATGAGTACTTCCCCAGAGATGGAGTTGAGTACCGTCTCCAGGAGCTGGAGATGAAAGGAGAAGCTTTTGCCTTGGTCTGTGAATTTCTGTCTCATTATATCAAGACACTGAAAGTTTGCCTATCTTTGTATATATACTGTAATCCACTCAGTATAATTATTATTATTATTATTATTATTATATTTTACTGACAAAAAATCACAACATGTTACAGCAACGAGATCTATAGGCTGGATTTCGTATCACAAAATCACAAGTCGAACACTTCCCAAGCGTCTAGGACTGTGTGAATTATTATTATTATTATTGTTATTATTATTATTACTATTATTAACACAAGATGAGTCCACGGCATTATTATTATTATTATTATTATTATTACTAGCCGTCCCCTGCCACGCGTTGCTGTGGCCCACATGTCGGTTCTATGTGGGAGCTTTGGCCCAATTCTATCGTTGATGGGGTTCAGAATGCTCTGTGATTGTAGGTGAACTACAAATCCCAGCAACTACAATTCCCAAATGTCAAGATTCTATTTTCCCCAAACTCCACCAGTGTTCACATTTGGGCAGATTGAGTATTCATGTAGTTTGGTCGAGATCCATCATTGTTTGAGTCCACAGTCCTCTCTGGATGTAGCTGAACTACAACTCCAAAACCAAAGGACACTGCCCACCAAACCCTTCCAGTATTTTGTGTTGATCATGAGAGAACTGTGTGCCAGGTTTGGTTCAATTCCATCGTTGGTGGGGTTCAGAATGCTCTTTGATTGTAGGTGAACTATAAATCCCAGCAACTACAACTCCCAAATGACAAAATCAATTTTTTTGAGTGAAGGACATACATTGGGTGGTTAGGTGTCTTGTGTCCAAATTTGGTGTCAATTCGTCCAGTGGTTTTTGAGTTATGTTAAACCCACAAATGAACATTACATTTTTATATAGATTATTGTTGTTGTTGTTGTTGTTGTTGTTATTATTATTATTATTATCATTATTATATTTTACTGACACAAAACCACACTATGTCACAGCAACAAGATCTATAGGCTGGATTTCGTATCACAAAATCACAAGTCAAACACTTCCCAAGTGTCTAGGACTGTGTGAAGTATTATTATTATTATTATTACTATTATTATTATTTATTATTATTATTATTATTATTATTATTATTAGGCATGGGCAATCCATGGTTCTAAATGGTTCTAAAGTACTTACAAAACGAGGGGGTGTTGCTGCTTTGCTTCTAAAGTATTGCTAAAGTTCTGGTGGTGAAAATTTCAGAACTCTAACAAAACATTGAATATTTTGTTATAAATGACCCTTTCTAATTGGTTCTGTCATAAAAAATCGTCAATAATGAAATAATAATAAAGATTTGAAAGTTTTGTTAGAGTTCTGAAATTCTCACCACCAGAACTTTAGCAACACTTTAGAAGCAAAGCACCAGCACCCCCTCGTTTTGTAAGTACTTTAGAATAATTTAGAACCATGGATTGCCCATGCCTTATTATTATTATTATTATTATTATTATTATTATTATTAGGCATAAGCAATCCATGGTTCTAAATGGTTCTAAAGCACTTACAAAATGAGGGGGTGCAGGTGCTTTGCTTCTAAAGTGTTGCTAAAGTTCTGGTGGTGAAAATTTCAGAACTCTAACAAAATTTTGCTATAAATGACAATTTCTAATTGGTTCTGTCATAAAAATTGCCAATGATGAAATAATAATAAAGATTTAAAAGTTTTGTTAGAATTCTGAAATTTTCTCCACCAGAACTTTAGCAACACTTTAGAAGCAAAGCACCGGCACTCTCTGGTTTTGTAAGTACTTTAGAACCATTTGGAACCATGGATTGTCCATTCATCATCATCATCATCATCATCATCATCATTATTAGTCATGGGCAATCCATGGTTCTAAATGGTTCTAAAGTACTTACAAAACGAGGGGGTGCCGGTGCTTTGCTTCTAAAGTGTTGCTAAAGTTCTGGTGGTGAAAATTTCAGAACTCTAACAAAACGTTCAAAATTTTGTTATAAATGACGTTTCTAATTGGTTCTGTCATAAAAATTGCCAATAATGAAATAATAATAAAGATTTGAAAGTTTTGTTAGAGTTCTGAAATTTTCACCACCAGAACTTTAGCAACAGCTTTAGAAGCAAAGCACCAGCTTTAGCAACACTTTAGAAGCAAAGCACCGGCACTCTCTGGTTTTGTAAGTACTTTAGAACCATTTAGAACCATGGATTGCCCATGCCTTATTATTATTATTATTATTATTATTATTATTATTGTGGCCCTTGCCACTGTACCTGCTCCACCACTCAAAGCGGCATTCTGTAGTTCTCGCTCCCTCCTGTCCAACTCCTCTGCTTTGCGGTTCAGCTCTTCCTGGCGCTTCAAGAGTTCAGCCGTGGCGGCCGCTGTCGAGTCCTAATAGAAAGGCAATACACACGAAACACACATATATAGGATGAGGGACATCTGGCTTGAAAATACTCCTTGAGAAAGGGATCTGGGAGTCTGAGGCCGTAGGCGATGCAATGGATTAATCCCTTGTGCTGCTGAACTGCTGACATGAAGGTCGGCAGTTCGAATCCCCAGGACGGGGTGAGCTCCCGCTGTTAGCACCAGCTCCTGCCAACCCAGCAGTTCAAAAAAAAATGCAAATGTGAGTAGATCAATAAACTGTTGAGCCACTGAACTCGTTGACCTGAAGGTTGGCACTTCAAATCTGTAGGTCGGGGTGAGCTTCTGTTCTTAAACCCAGCTCCTGCCAACCTAGCAGTTCAAAAACATGCAAATGTGAGTAGATCAATAGGTACTGCCTCAGAGGGAAAAGGCAAAAAGATGCTCCATGAGGTCATGCCAGCCACATGACCGGGAGGTGTCTAAGGACAATGCAGGCTCCTTGGCTTGGAAATGGGGATGAGCATCGCCTCCAGAGCCGGAAATGAAAGGAGAAGCCTTTGCCTTTGTCTGTGTATTTGTGTTTCTGTGTATTTTATTGTAACAAGGCATTGAATGTTTGCCTGTGTCTGTTTAAATGGTGTAATCTGCTCTGAGTCCCCTCGGGGAGAAGAACGGAATTATCTCGTTGTGGTCTGCTAAATAATAATCATAATAATTTGGAAGCGTTATTATGATTATTATTTAGCAGACCCCAACTAGAACATGAGCCAACACTGGGATGTGGCAGCCTTGAGGATTGTACTGTGGTTCAACAACAATAAAAATAATTTATTTATTTCATAATAATATGTTATTATTGTCATTGTTAATATTATAATTTCTTAGTATTTTATATTAGTGAAATAATAATAATAATAATTTTATGCTATACCCTGTCTTGAGGCTTCCATTGTGCTAATATTATTATTATTATTATTATTATTATTATTTCACTAATATAAAATAATAATAATAATAATTTTATGCTGTACCCTGTCTTGAGGCTTCTGCTACTACTACTATTATTATTATTATAATTATTATTATTATATATTAGTGAAATAATAATAATAATAATAATAATAATAATAATAATGATAGAAGCACAATGGAAGCCTCAAGACAGGGTATAGCATAACAATATAATAATAATAGTAATAATAATAATTTTATGCTGTACCCTGTCTTAAGGCTTCCACAGTGCTTCTATTATTATTATTATTATTATTATTATTATTATTATTATTATTATTTCACTAATATAAAATCATCATCATCATCATCATTTTATGCTGTACTGTCTTGAGGCTTCCATTGTGCTTCTATTGTTGTTATTATTATTATTATTTCACTAATATATAATAATAATAATAATAATAATAATAATAATAATGTTATGCTGTACCCTGTCTTGAGGCTTCCACAGTGCTTCTATTATTATTATTTATTATTAATATTACTATTTAATAATAATAATAATAATTTTATGCTGTACCCTGTCTTGATGCTTCCACTGTGCTTCTATTATTATTATTATTATTATTATTATTATTATTATTATTATTATTGTTATTACTATTATTATTATTACTATTATTATTATTAAAAAAGGCAAATGCGATTTCAAGCTGCATTGATAGGAATATGTGTTGAGATCGAGGGAAGCCATGGCCCCACTTTATTTTGCTTTGGTTAGACCTCACCTGGAATAATGCTGTGTTCAACTCCAGGAAAAGAGAGTCCCCCTAAACATTAAGAAGAACTTCCTGACAGTAAGAGCTGTTCAGTCATGAAATATGCTGCCTGGGAGTCCTCTGGCTGGATGGCCATCTGTTGGGAGGGCTTTGATTGTGCATTCTCACAATCAAATGAGATTTGGGGGGGGGGTTGGATTGGATGTCCCTTTGGGGCCGCTCCAACTTGATTATTTCTATTATTCTTGTTACCTGAGTGCCATAAGAGCCATAGTTTCTGGGCTCCGTGGGGCTGAGCTTCTTGGCTGGCTGCAACACAGGCGCTGGCGTCACGGGAGGAGCCGTTGGAGCTGAGGCTGGGGGCTCATACGGAGGAGCGGGCTGCTGCAAAACGGATCAGAACAATAATACAAACTTTATTTATATACTGCTCCATCTCCCTGAGCGATTTCCAAGTAACATCATCAATACGTACAGAGTAAACAACATAAACATAAGATTAACAAAGGTGTTGCTGGGGGACTCCTGCTCAGCCCCACAGCCAATGTCCTGTGGCGTCCTGCAGGGCTCAGTATTGTCCCCAATGTTGTTTAACATCTACATGAAGCCACTGGGTAAGATCATACGGAGTTTTGGAATTCGATGCCGTCTGTATGCAGATGACGTCCAACTCTATCACTCATTTCCACCAGATGCTAAGGAGGCTGTCCAAGTCCTGAACTTGGCCACTGTGACGGTCTGGATGAGGGCAAGCAAATTGAAGTTGACTCCAGACAAGACAGAGGTCCTCCTGGTCAGTTGAAGGCCGAACAGGGTGTAGGGTCACAACCTGTGCTGGATGGGGTTACACTCCCCTTGAAGGCACAGGTTCACAGCTTGGGGGTCCTCCTGGACTCATCACTGAGCCTGGAATCCCAGGTTGCAGCGGTGGCCAGGGGAGCGTTCGCACAACTAAAACTTGTGTGCCAGCTGCATCCGTACCTTGGAAGTCAGACTTGGCCACGGTGGTCCATGCTCTCATTACATAGTTACATCTAGACAGATACTCAGAGGCTATTTAACATTCCAGCTTTTTCATGAGGGTATTCTGGCCACCAGGGGAGCTGTCGCTTCACCGTCCATTTGTGACACTGAGGAAGTACTTCCTCATTCTTTGCATGCTTGCTGGAGATTTTTATGGCGTCGTAAATTAGCCTCCCCACATAAGCGGTACCTACATTTCCTAATTGACAGAGGCAACTGTTTTTCGGGCTGCAAAGGTCGACAGCAAGCTACACAAATTGTTCAGAAGCTCACTCCAACATTTTTACTTATATAGATATTATATTATATTAATTATAAGCACAGTGCAGGAGACAAGATGCTTGGAGGACCCCCAAGCTACGCACCTGCGCCTTCAGGGGGAGTGTAACCCCGTCCAGCAGAGGTTGCCACCCAATACCTAGGTTGGCCCCACGACTGACCATGAGGACCTTTGTCTTGTCTGGTTTAAGCTTCAACACACTTCTGAAGATAGTTCATCATCATCATATTTAATTACTTATTAATCGCCCTCCATCTGAGAATGCTCTAGGCGATTTACAGCTAAATTGTAAAAGATAAAATACATACATACAGAATTTAAAAATTAACAGAGATTGAATGCTCTAGTAAAAAGCCAGGTCTTAAGTGCCACAGATGCAGGCAAAACATCCGGAGAGAATGCTACTGGAACATCGCCATACAGGCCTTAAAACATGCAGCAATTCAGTGATTCCAGCCATGAAGGCCTTTGACAACTCATTTACAGTTCCTGTTTTTAAGTAGAGCGGACTGCCATCTGTCTGGAGGGCTTTGATGGTGTTCTTTCTGCCTGGCAGAAGTTTTTGGGATCTGATAGCCCTGTGGTCTTCCAATTCCGAGATTCTAAGATTCCTTTTTGCAAGATTAATAAGTAGTTTCTCGTTCTCTTCTTTACACATATTTCCGATGGAGTGACGTACTTACTCCGGGTTTGTCAAACGGATTGTAGACGTCCAGAGTGGCATATTCCGAAGTGGGCCTGTGCTGGATGACAGCAGGGTCCTAATGGAAAGAGGAATCGAAACTTTAGACTCATTGCTAGTTGCCGTTTACAGGAAGCTAGGCTGAGCGAAGTCATCGTTCTTCAACAAAATATATGTGTGCCATAGGAAAGAAATGAAAGTGGCCATTACTAAGCCAATGATGGATTTCTAATATTTATTTATTTACCATATTTATCTACCTCCCCTCTCAGCCCGGAACTTGATTCAGCACACAGAAGATGGCTTTGAAAGGCAGCAGATCACAGGAGCTGTCTTCATAGACCTGTCAGTGGCTTATGATATTGTGAACCACCGCCTCCTCCTGAGAAAAATGTATAGTATCACAAAGGACAACCACCTCACCCGCCTCATAGGAAACCTGCTACAAAACAGGAGCTTTTTCGTTGAGTTCCAGGGCCAGAGAAGCAGATGGCGGAAACAGAAGAATGGCCTGCCTCAGGGGAGCGTGCTTGCTCCATCCATGTTCACATCTACACAAATAACCAGCCACTGCCAGAAGGGACAGAGAGCTTCATCTATGCTGATGATCATGACATCACCACTCAAGCAGGGAGCTTTGAGATGGTTGAACAGAAGCTCTCCAAAGCTCTAGATTCCCTATTACAGGGAAAACCAGCTGATCCCTAATCCATCTAAAACACAGACATGTGCCTTTCACCTTAAGAACAGACAAGCATCCCGAGCTCTGAGGATTACCTGGGAAGGAATCCCACTGGAGCATTGCAGCGCACCCAAATACCTGGGAGTCACTCTGGACCGTTCTCTGACCTACAAGAAGCACTGCGTGAACATCAAGCAAAAAGTGGGTGCTAGAAACAATATCCTATGAAAGCTAACTGGCACAACCTGGGGATTGCAACCAGATACAGTGAAGACATCTGCCCTTGCGCTGTGCTACTCTGCTGCTGAGTATGCATGCCCAGTGTGGAACACATCTCACCACGCTAAAACAGTGGATGTGGCTCATTATTACGGGGTGTCACCACTGGAGAAATTGCACTGTTACATTGCACCACCTGCCATCCGCCGGGAAGTAGCAGCCAATAAAGGACTGGAGAACAAGCCCTATGAGGAGCGGCTTAAGGAGCTGGGCATGTTTAGCCTGAAGAAGAGAAGGCTGAGAGGGAATATGATAGCCATGTATGAATATGTGAGAGGAAGCCACAGGAAGGAGGGAGCAAGCTTGTTGTCTGCTTCCTTGGATGCTAGGACACGAAACAATGGCTTCAAACTACAAGAGAGGAGATTCCATCTGAACATGAGGAAGAACTTCCTGACTGTGAGAGCCGTTCAGCAGTGGAACTCTCTGCCCCGGAGTGTGGTGGAGGCTCCTTCTTTGGAAGCTTTTAAACAGGGGCTGGATGGTCATCTGTCAGGGGTGATTTGAATGCAATATTCCTGCTTCTTGGCAGGGGGTTGGACTGGATGGCCCATGAGGTCTCTTCCAACTCTTTGATTCTATGATTCTATGAATAGTGAAAGGACCAAGGCAGAGACATCTCCAGCTCATCCCTTGTTTGGGTATCAGCCAGCACATCAACGACTTAAATCAAGAAATAGTTTTCTAAGATCTACAGAGACACTCACTGGAACACCTCAGCAAGCGAGAGTCCAAAAGTGGCAGGCTCAAACCCAGAACCTCAACCAATGGCTGATACCAAATGAGAGACTCCCCCCTGGGCACACAGAAGACTGGGCGACTTGGAAGGCGCTGAACAGACTGCGCTCTGGCACCACGAGATGCAGAGCCAACCTTCAGAAATGGGGCCACAAAGTGGAATCCACGACATGCGAGTGTGGAGAAGAGCAAACCACTGACCACCTGCTGCAATGCAACCTGAGCCCTGCCACATGCACAATGGAGGACCTCCTTGCGGCAACACCAGAGGCACTCCAAGTGGCCAGCTACTGGTCAAAGGACATTTAATCAGCTACCAAGGCGACTCGGAGCGGTTTACAAATTGCAACGATTCGATGTCACACTTTTAATTGTTATGACTGTTGAGTCATAACAATTAAAAGTATGACAATCATTAAAATTATTAAAAGCATTAACATCTCTGTCTGTCTGTCTGTCTGTCTGTCTGTCTGTCTATCTATCTATCTATCTATCTATCTATCTATCTATCTATCTATCTATCTATCTATCTATATGCTCTGTGCGCAATGAGTACCTTAAAAACAAAAGAACCCATGAACGAAATCACACCAAATTTGGCAACAAAACATCTCACAAGACAAGGAGTGACCATCACTCAAAAAATTATGATTTTGTCATTTGGGAATTGTAGTTGCTGGGATTTATAATTTACTTACAATCAAAGAGCATTCTGAACTCCACCAATGATGGAATTGAACCAAACGTGGCATACAGGACTCCCATGACCGAACGAAAACACTGGAAGAGTTTGGTGGGTATTGACCTTGAGTTTGGGAGTTGTAGTTCACCTACATCCAGAGAGCACTGTGGACTCAAACAATAATGGATCTGGACCAAACTTGTCACGAATACTCAACACGCTCAAATATGAACACAAATGGAGTTTAGGGAAAATAGACCTTGACATTTGGAGTTGTAGTTGCTGGGATTTATAGTTCACCTACAATCAAAGAGCGTTCTGAACTTCACGAATGACAGAATCAGGGCAAACTTCCCACACAGAACCCTCCTGACCAATAGAAAATACTGAAGGCCATCCAATCCAACTCCCTTCATCAGGGCAAGAAAACGTAATCAAAGTCCTCCTGATGAAGAGCCATCCAGCCATAGATATAGATAAGATAGATAGATAGATAGATAGATATAGATAGATAGATAGATAGATAGATAGATAGATAGATAGGGAGTTGTAGTTGTTGGGATTTATAGTTCACCTACAATCAAATAGCATGATAGAATCGAACCAGCCAGGGCATACAGGACTCCCATGACCAACAGAAAACACTAGAAGACTTTGGTGGTTATTGACGTTGAGTTTGGGAGTTGTAGTTCACCTACATCCAGAGACTCAAACAATGGACTCAAACAATGATGGATCTGGACCAAACTTGGCACGGATACTCAATATGCCCAAATATAAACACAGATGGAGTTTGGGTAGACCTTGACATTTGAGAGTTGTAGTTACTGGGATTTATAGTTCACCTACAATCAAGGAACATTCTGAACCCCACCAACGACAGAACTGGGACTAACTTCCCACACAGAACCCTCGTGATCAAAAGAAAATATTATGTTTTCTGATGGTCTTTGGTGACCCCTTTGACACCCCCTCGCAACCCACCCAGAGGTCCCAACCCCCAGGTTGAGAAACACTGATCTATAGGGAGGGCATTCCACAGCCGAGGGGCTATTGCCGAGAAGGCTCTGTCTCTCGTCTCCGCCAAACGTACTTGTGACGAAGGTGGTAACGAGAGCAGGGCCTCCCCAGGATGATCTTAAGGTCCTAGATGGTTCATAAGGAGAGATACGTTTGGATAGGCAAGTTGGACTGAAACCGTTTAAGGTTTTATAGGCTAAAGCGAGCACTTTGAATTGTGCTTGGTAGAGGATTGGCAGCCAGTGGAGCTGGCGTAACATGGGAGTTGTGTGTTCCCATGTAGCAACCTGGCTGCCGCACATTGGACCATTTGCAGCTTCTGAACAGTCTTCAAGGGCAACCCCACATAGAGTGCGTTACAGTAGTCTATACAGGATGTAACCAGAGCGTGGACTACCGTGGCCAAGTCAGACTTCCCAAGGTACGGACGCAGCTGGCATACAAGTTTTAACGGTGCAAATGCTCGCCGAGACCTGGGGTTCCAGGCTCAGTGATGAATCCAAGACACAGATATGTGGGCAGAGTATCCCATAGGACACATCATGGGATCTGCTTTGCTGTATTCCGATTGTGCCTTGTCTTGGGGAGAAGCAACTCGAGTTGTATGATATGTGTGGGGCAGACAATAGCAGAACGCAACAGAGAGGTTGCCTTTTATCTCCTTGAAAGATACCGTAGTCACGGAGGGCAAATATTACACAAAAGCTGATTGAGAGCAAGGAGAGAGAGGAGTCAACGTTACAATGAACAGCCAGTTCTCCAAACACTGGGCTTGGCTCCAAAGGTGGAGGCCGATCTAGAGAAGCCAAGGAGGAAATAGAGAAATTGTAGCATCCATCCAGTGCAACCTTATTTTGCCAGGCAGGAAGACACCATCAAAGCTCTCCCAACAGATGGCCATACAACCTCTAATTAAAAACTTCATGGTGCTTATGGTGGTAATATATAATGCCTGGTGAGCATTGACACACAACTAAAGCTCCAGATTAGACTCTTAGAGACTAAGGTACATAGTAACACAATAATAACACAATAATAATATAGTATGGTAGGATAATAATACAATATATCATACTAGGAGAGTAATCATATATATTATAATAATACTTTAAAATAATATAATACAGTATTTTGAAGCAGTGATTTAGATCAACCGTCGAGCAGATAAGGAAGGTCCTGCCTGGTGTGCATTGATACTCACACAACTAAAGTTCCAGATTAGACTCTTAGCTACTAAGATACATAGTAACACAATAATAATACAATAATAATATAGTATAGTATGATAATAACACAATATATCATAATAGGATAATAATAATATATATATAATAATAATAATATAACTTTAAAATAATATAATACAGTATTATTGTGTTATAATAACACATTAATAATATGATATATCATGATAATAACACAATATATCATAATAGGGTAATAATAATAATATATATATATAATAATATAACTTTAAAATAATATAATACAGTATTATTGTGTTATAATAACACATTAATAATATAGTATAGCATGATAATAACACAATATATCATAATAGGATAATAATAATATATATATATAATAATATAACTTTAAAATAATATAATACAGTATTATTGTGTTATAATAACACATTAATAATATAATATAGCATGATAATAACACAATATATCATAATAGGAAAATAATAATAATAATATATATAATAATAATATAACTTTAAAATAATATAATACAGTATTATTGTGTTATAATAACACATTAATAATATAGTATGGTAGGATAATAATAATACAATATTATGATAGTAGGATAATAATAATGAAAAATAATATAACTAAAGCTCCAGATTAGACTTTTCGTTACTAAAATACATAGTAACACAATAACAACACAATAATAATATAACATGGTAGGATAATAATACAATATATAAAAGTAATATATAATAATAATAAAACTTTAAAACAATGTAATACAGTATTTTGAAGCAGTGATTTAAATCAACTGTTGAGCAGATAAGGAAGGTCCTGCCTGGCGAGCATCGACGATCACACAACTAAAGTTCCAGATTAGACTCTTAGAGAGTAAGATACATAATAACACATTAATAACACAATAATAATATAGTATGGTAGGATAATAATACAATATATCATAATAGGATAATAATAATAATATATATTATAATAATGTAACTTTAAAATAATATAATACTGTATTATTGTGTTATTAATAACACATTAATAACACAATAATAATATAGTATGGTAGGATAATAATAATACAATATTATTATAGTAGGATAATAATAATAATGAAGAATAAAATAACTAAAACTACAGATTAGACTCTTAGTTACTAAACTACATAGTAACACAATAACAACACAATAATAATATAATATGGTAGGATAATAATACAATATATAAAAGTAATATATAATAATAATAAAGCTTTAAAACAATATAATACAGTATTTTGAAGCAGTGATTTAGATCAACAGTTGAGCAGATAAGGAAGGTCCTGCCTGGCGAGCATTGACGATCACACAACTAAAGTTCCAGATTAGACTCTTAGAGAGTAAGATACATAATAACACCTTAATAACACAATAATAATATAGTATGGTAGGATAATAATACAATATATCATAATAGGATAATAATAATAATATATATTATAATAATGTAACTTTAAAATAATATAATACAGTATTATTGTGTTATTAATAACACATTAATAACACAATAATAATATAGTATGGTAGGATAATAATAATACAATATTATTATAGTAGGATAATAATAATAATGAAAAATAAAATAACTAAAACTACAGATTAGACTCTTAGTTACTAAAATACATAGTAACACAATAACAACACAATAATAATATAATATGGTAGGATAATAATACAATATATAAAAGTAATATATAATAATAATAAAACTTTAAAACAATATAATACAGTATTTTGAAGCAGTGATTTAGATCAACGGTGGAGCAGATAAGGAAGGTCCTGCCTGGCGAGCATCGGCGATCACACAACTAAAGTTCCAGATTAGATACATAATAACACAATAATAATATAGTATAGTAGGATAGTAATAATAATACAATATATTATAGTAGGATAATAAATATGAATAATAATAGAACTAAAGTTCCAGATTAGACTCTTAGATACTAATATACATAATAACACAATAATAATATAGTATGGTAGGATAATAATCATATAAAACATCATAATAGGATATAATAATACTTTAAAATAATATAATACAGTATTATGAAGCAGTGATTTAGATCAACGGTCGAGCAGATAAGGAAGGTCCTGCCTGGCGAGCATTGACACACAACTAAAGTTCCAGATTAGACTCTTAGATACTAAGACACATAATAACACAATAATAATATAGCATGGTGGGATAATAATACAATATATCATAATAGGGTAAAAGGAATATATAATAATAATAAAAAAACTTTGAATGTTTTCGAACTGCTAGGTTGGCAGAAGCTGGAGCTAACAGCGGGAGCTCACACCACTCCCAGATTCCAAGCTCCGATCTTCTGGTAAGCAAGTTCAGCAGCTTAACCCACTGCGGGCTCCATGATAATAATAATCTAACATTAAAGTAATATAATACAGTATTACGAAGCAGTGATTTAGATCAACAGTTGAGCAGATAGGGAAGGTCCTGCCTGGTGAGCATTGACACACAACTAAAGGTCCAGATTAGACTCTTAGCTACTAAGATACATAGTAACACAGTAATAACAGAACAGTAATATAATATAGAATAATAATAATAATATAACATTATTATAGTAGGATAATAATAATGAATAATATAACTAAAGTTCCAGATTAGATTCTTAGCTACTAAGATACATAGTAACACAATAATAACACAATAATAATATAGTATAGTAGGATAATAATAATAGTACAATATTATTATAGTAGAAAAATAATAATGAATAATATAACTAAAATTCCAAATTAGACTCTTAGCTACTAAGATACATAGTAACACAGTAATATCACAATAGTAATATAGTATAGTAGGATAATAATACAATATATTATAGTAGGATAATAATAATAATGAATAATATAACTAAAGTTCCAGATTAGACTCTTAGCTACTAAGATAAATAGTAACACAATAATAATATAGTATAGTAGGATAACAATAATAGTACAATATTATTATAGTAGAAAAATAATAATGAATAATATAACTAAAGTTCCAAATTAGACTCTTAGCTACTAAAATACTATATACTATATATAGTATATATATATATATATATATATATATATATATATATATATATACACACACACATACTATACTATACTATACTATACTTAGATACTATATCGCACTAGTAATATAGTATAGTAGGATAATAATACAATATATTATAGTACTTATAGATACTTAGATACTAGATACTTATAGATACTTAGATACTATATCACAATAGTAATATAGTATAGTAGGATAATAATACAACATATTATAGTAGGATAATAATAATGAATAATAATATAACTAAAGTTCCAGATTAGACTCTTAGCTACTAAGATACATAATAACACATTAATAACACAATAATAATATAGTATGGTAGGATAATAATAATAATACAATATATCATAGTGGGATAATAATAATACATAATAATATATAATAATAATAATAATAATATAGTATGGTAGGATAATAATAATACAATATATCATAGTGGGATAATAATAATACATAATAATATATAATAATAATAATAATAATAATAATAATAATAATAATATAGTATGGTAGGATAATAATAATACAATATATCATAGTGGGATAATAATAATACATAATAATATATAATAATAATAATAATATAGTATGGTAGGATAATAATAATACAATATATTGGTGGGATAATAATAATACATAATAATAATAATAATAATAATAATAATAATATAGTATGGTAGGATAATAATAATACAATATATCATAGTGGGATAATAATAATAATAATAATAATAATAATAATATATAATAATAATAATAATATAGTATGGTAGGATAATAATAATACAATATATCATAGTGGGATAATAATAATACATAATAATATATAATAATAATATAGTATGGTAGGATAATAATAATACATAATAATATATAATAATAATAATATAGTATGGTAGGATAATAATAATACAATATATCACAGTGGGATAATAATAATACATAATAATAATAATAATAATACTATAGTATGGTAGGATAATAATAATACATAATAATATATAATAATAATAATAATAATACTATAGTATGGTAGGATAATAATAATACAATATATCATAGTGGGATAATAATAATAATACATAATAATATGTTAAAATCCCTTTCCCTTGGACTGTTTCCAAGCTAGGCCTCACCCATCCTGTATCTGCATTCCATTCTTAATGGCCTAGGTGTCACACTTTACATTGAAGCCTACAGTGCTCTTATTCCTCTCCCCGCTAGGAACTCTGGGATTTGCAGTCCAGGGCAGGGCGTGGAGCCTTGTGAGGCAGGCCCTTCTGGCCCTCCATTGAACTACAACTCCCAGAATCCCATGGCGGAGTCCCCCACTGCCAGACAGAGAATGCACCTGGAAGGGGTTCCCGGGGTCTCCCTCGAAGGGGTTCCCCTCTCCGCTCAGGGCCATGCCTCCCTCGCTCTCCTCTCTCTCTCTCTCTCTCTCGCTGCTGCTGCTCCTGCTCCGGCTGCTGCTGCAATCCTCGCCTCTCATTGGCTGCCGGGGCCCAGCGCGTCATCAGAGGATGGGGTGGGGATTCCCAGGCGCGTGACGCCGAGGGGCGTGGCCTCGCCTTCCCGCGCTGGCCGACGGGAATTGAAGTCCACAGGGACTGGGGTTGTTTCCTCTATGCTGATGATCCTGCCATCACCACCCAAACAGGGAGCTTTTAAAAGCTCGAACAGAAGCTATCCAAAGCTTTAGGTGCTCTTACAGCCTATCACAGGGAAAACCAGCTTTCTCCATCAATGTTTAACATTTACACAAATGATCAGGCCACTGCCAGAAGGGACAGAGGGTTTCACCTACGCTGACGATCATGCCATCACCGCTCAAGCAGGGAGCTTTGAGATGGTTGAACAGAAGCTCTCCGAAGCTCTAGGTGCTCTTACTGCCTATTACAGGGAAAACCAGCTGATCCCTAATGCATCTAAAACACAGACATGTGCTTTTCACCTTAAGAACAGACAAGCATAGTCTACCATGCTGATTGAATCGTGCTCATCATTCCGCCCTACGAAGTCAGGGAGCATTGTGAGCATGCGCATTGACAGGAAGCTCTGCCGAAAGCTCTTAGTGTGCGTAGCTAAACTAGCCATACGACTAGGTGATAAACCAGCTTGCATCCCTAATCAGTGGTAAGGGTTTACACAAATGAACCAGCCCCACTAGCCAGAAGGGACAGTAGGCGTGGTTCATCTATGTTCTGTATGCATCCGCTGGCCACATCACGCTTCAAGCTTCGAGCGCGAACTCTGCTGAGATGGACTTTGTTTAGAACATAGAATAGCTCTCCGAAGCTATAGGTGCGTTACTCTAAACTGCCTAGACAGGTAAACATGGCTGTATCATTTAAATCTTCATTATTATAGTTTCTATGTCACATTCACTCCTTAATGAGAGTTGATAACCGTTTGAGTCGAGTTTAAGAGCATTTACAGGCACAAATGATCCAAGCTCACTGCAAACAGAGGAGCGGCATCGAGACAACGTGGTGATCATCTATGCTGATATGCATCGTGCCATCACCGCTCAAGCAGGGAGCTTTGAGATGGTTGAACAGAAGCTCTCCGAAGCTCTAGGTGCTCTTACTGCCTATTACAGGGAAAACCAGCTGATCCCTAATCCATCTAAAACACAGACATGTGCCTTTCACCTTAAGAACAGACAAGCATCCCGAGCTCTGAGGATTACCTGGGAAGGAATCTCACTGGAGCATTGCAACACACCCAAATACCTGGGAGTCACTTTGGACCGTGCTCTGACCTACAAGAAGCACTGCCTGAACATCAAGCAAAAAGTGGGCGCTAGAAATAACATCATACGAAAGCTGACTGGCACAACCTGGGGATCACAACCAGACACAGTGAAGACATCTGCCCTTGCGCTATGCTACTCTGCTGCTGAGTAATGCATGCCCAGTGTGGAACACATCTCACCACACTAAAACAGTAGATGTGGCTCTTAATGAGACATGCCGCATTATCACTGAGGGGTGTCTGCGCCCCACACCACTAGAGAAATTACACTGCTTAGCCGGTATTGCACCACCTGACATCCGCCGGGAAGTAGCAGCCAATAGTGAAAGGACCAAGGCAGAGACATCTCCAGCTCATCCACTGTTTGGGTATCAGCCAGCACGTCAACGACATAGTTTTCTTAGATCTACAGAGACACTCGCTGGAACACCTCAGCAAGCAAGAGTCCAAAAGTGGCAGGCTAAAATCCAGAACCTCAACCAATGGCTGATCCCAAATGAGAGACTCCCCCCTGGGCACACAGAAGACTGGGCGACTTGGAAAGCGCTGAACAGACTGCGCTCTGGCACCACGAGATGCAGAGCCAATCTTCAGAAATGGGGCTACAAAGTGGAATCCTCGACATGCGAGTGTGGAGAAGAGCAAACCACTGACCACCTGCTGCAATGCAACCTGAGCCCTGCCACATGCACAATGGAGGACCTTCTTGCAGCAACCCCAGAGGCACTCCAAGTGGCCAGATACTGGTCAAAGGACATTTAACCAAATACCAAATTTGCAAAATCTGTGTGTTTTTTTTTTTCTTTTTAATCTGTGTGTTTGTTTTGCTCTGTTAGAATTGTAATACAATGGTTGCTGATGACACGATAAAATAAATAAATATGACATAAATGAAAAAACAATGTAGAGCTCTTGTTAGTGCAGCATTTTTCCGATGAACTGCGCACCCTTGCGATGGCATCTGGTACTATATCTATATCTTGTATTCATATTATCAATAAATAAATCCATTTAAGCAATTGAGAAGTTGGCGTTCTTTTCTTTGTAGGTTTTTGTCCAGGTAGTTCCGTAGGCCATCCGTCTGGAGGCAATTGTTCTCCTTATGACGTTACCCTGGCATCTGTATCGGATAGCAGTACCATCAGGAGGTAGGGAGGATCTGTGGCGGCAAGTAGGCAAAAAGGGTGTTTATTATATCTGTGACTATGCCCTAATGCACCAGAGGTGGGACAATGGACTTTAATGTGCTGCTGGAGTCAGGTTCGTGAAATGTTTCAGATGATCACTTGATTATGGGCATTCAATCGGACGTTCGGACACGTGCTGCGGAAGGAATCTTTTGTCGAGAGTAGATGTTAGTGCTTGGTTGTTTCCCACTCTGTGTCTCGTATCATTAGCTGCTTAGTATATGTTTGCGTGTCTATGACCTTTTAATACTGGTAGCACGACGATTGTCGTGATTAATCTAGGTGCAAAGAGCACTGCTAGAGCGCAAGACTCAGACATGAATGTGAAGCTCTGGAAATCAGGAGACACATCCCTGTCTTGGAGTTGATCGAGCTACATGTCCAGTTTCTCCGATTAAAAGTAGTAAAGAGCGGAGACACTCATTGCACTGGACAAACATAGATCCATTGGCCTAGTCAAAAGCCATAGGTACTTCCCGTCGGAACCTAGTGAGCCTTATTTGGTATTCCCTGTAGTAACCTACGGATGTGAGAGCTGGACCTTAGGGAAGGCTGAGCGAAGGAAGAGAGATGCTTTTGAGCTGTGGTGTTGGAGGAAAGTTCTGAGAGTGCCTTGGACTGCGAGAAGATCCAACCAGTCCATCCTCCAGGAAATAAAGCCCGACTGCTCACTGGAGGGAAGGATACTAGAGACAAAGTTGAAGTACTTTGGCCACTTCATGAGGAGACAGCAAAGCCTAGAGAAGACAATTATGCTGGGGAAAGTGGAAGGCAAAAGGAAGAGGGGAAGACCAAGGGCAAGATGGATGGATGGCATCCTTGAAGTGACTGGACTGACCTTGAAGGAGCTGGGGGTGGTGACGGCCGACAGGGAGCTCTGGCGTGGGCTGGTCCATGAGGTCACGAAGAGTCGGAGACGACTGAGCGAATGAACAACAACAAGTCCATCATTTTTCCTACTTCCAACAGACCTCACTACCTCTGAGGATGCTTGCCATAGAAGCAGGTGAAACGTCAGGAGAAAAATTGCCTCCAGAACATGGCCATATAGCCCGGAAAAACCTACAACAACCCAGTGATTCCGGCCATGAAAGCCTTTGACAATACAATGGAGAAGCTGTTGTTTGTTTTGAGCCTCTGAGAGTCCGGCAAAAGAAGGAAAGGTGGGAGGGAGGAAGGAAGGAGGGAAGGATAGAAGGAAGGAAAAAAAGGTAAGGAAGAAAGAAATAAGGAAGGAAGAAAGGAAGGAAGGAAGAATGAAAGAAAGGGAGAGTGAGGGAGGGAGGGAGAAGGGAAGGAAGGAAGAAGGGAAGGAAGGAAGGAAGGAAAGAAGAAAGGAAGAAGGGAAAAAAGAAGAAAGGGAGAGCGAGGGAGGGAGGAAGAAAGAAGGAAAGAAGAAAAGGAAAGAGGAAGGAAGAAGAAAAGAAAGTTGGAAAGAAGGAAGGGAGGAAGGAAGGAATGAGGGAGGGAGGGGAGGGAGGGAGGACAGAAAAGGAAAGGAAAAGGAAGTAAGAAAGGAAGGAAAGGAAGGAAGAAGGAAAGAAGAAAGGGAGAGTTAGGGAGGGAGGAAGAAGGAAAGAAGAGAAGGAAGGATGGAAGGAAGGAAGGACAGAAAAGGGAAAGAAAGAAAGGAAGGAAGCAGGAAAGAAGAAAGGGAGAGTGAGGGAGGGAGGAAGAAGGAAAGGAAAGAAGAGAAGGAAGGAAGAAGAAAGAGATGGGAAAGAAGGAAGGAAAGAAGAAGGAAAAAGGAGAGGAAGGAAGAAAGGAAGGAAAGAATAAAGAAGGAAAGAATGAAAGGTAAAGAAGGAAGGAGAGAAGGAAGGATAAAAAGTGTGAGAGAAGAAGCTAAAGGAGAGAAGGAAGGAAAAAAGGAGGGGAAGGGAGGGAGGGGGGGATATGATAAAAGTGAAAATAGGAGAAAAGGAGTAAGGAAAGGAAGCTGTAAGGTAAGAAGAGCATAGATCATGAGTGCTCGAGAGTTAGGGAAGGGTAGGTGATGAGGAACGGAAAAGAAATTGAAGAAGGAAGGATGGAATGGAAGCGAGAGGAACAGATACAAGGTAAAGAAAGACAAAGGAAGGATAGCTAGGCGGAAAGAGAAAGGTCGGAGAACGGTGAGGGAGGGAGCGAAGAAGCGAAAATGGGAAGAGAGCATAGATGGGAAGGAAGACAAGAAAGATAGAAGAAGGAAAGGACACGCCATTACGAAGAAAAAAGGGCATAAGAAGGCACAGGATAGATAGAAAGGGCAGAAGGAGTCCCGCCGAGGAGGACTGTAAGGAAAGAGGAAAGAATACGAAAAGGAAGAAGAGCAGGAAGCTAAGAAGGATTAGGTTGAAGGCATTCAGGAGGCATGGCAATGAAGCCTTGGCACCAATACCTTCTGGGAACAGAATACTGGCCGGCACGGAGTCGTCAGGCAATGCGTCGGGTTCGTGTAGCATCAGGTAGCATACTGCAACGTGCTACTATGTGGTGCCTGCCTTTGAAGACTGTGTCGGAAGCTTGAAGATAGGAGAGTTTCCGCATCGATGGAGCGCAGCTAGGCTTACACTTCAAAACTGGA